GTAGATAAGCATAAGCTTCACGTGTTGTTATCTTACACGATCACTACAATCACAGATCATGCAAGGTCTGAGTGAGAGCCTCGGTCACGGTACTGGTCGAGGGTATAGTCCCGCTGGCAAAGTAAGGCCGAGGGGACTGGATGCTCCAATAGAGACTGTTCTGGGTGACGCGCAAGGAAACGCAGGATGACCATGGAAACAGAACAGTAGGGATGCCGACGAAAGCTGTGTGTTAGAGGGGACTTGTGTTGGAAGACCTGTTGGTCATCGGAGTCCTTCGATAGGCAAATGTGCTATGGGCACATGCTTGAGAACGAGCAAGTGAAGTCCGTTTCCAGTCAACCGTTGTTGCCTGCTGAAGTAATATGAAGGTCCAGTTGATATGAGAGTTCTTCCTGTTCTTCTATACGGCGAGCCCAGAGTTGTATGACGTTATAGACCTTCAGAGCTGTAGTGGTCAGGGCGAGGTGGCTACAAGTTGAGAGAGAGAGAGAAAGAGAGTGAGGACTATGTTCGAATGCCAGTTAGGATCAGCGTCTACGTCTCTGAGTTTGTAGTAGTCTATGTGAGGGCTTGTGAATACCCTCGTATGTTGTTCCAATAAACCTCTTGTATGGCGGAGCTGACAGCGTCGTGTCGCAACTCAGTGTGTCCAGTGACTATCTGTACCCGTGGACACTTAATCGTATGCTGATTATTGTGCAACTCAGAAAGCACACAACAATACCTGTTGTAATATTCAATTTGGAAACGCCCCACCCCTTACCCATTATTTGTTTTGTGTATATCACCCCCCGTAGCGGATATGTTAAACAAGATTGCAAGGCAGTTTTGCTATTCACACAAAGCGTTGAGTAAGAAGTATATGTCCAATTTTGTTTTTCTTTTTAAATTTTTATGTCAAATTTGCTTTATTATGGGTCCCTTTTAAGATCCATGGTCAATGGAAGAATATACCGACTACACCTGCATCTTCTCAGGCCTGAACACAAATAGTTACCAAAGGGCTTGAACAGTTATGTAAGGGCATTTTTCACTCCTCGGGGCATTTTGGGCCTAATGTGCCAGCCATGTATGTATATAGACCAACTGGTAGTGAACACTTCTTTCTGAAGCCTCGGGGAGACACTGTACAGACAATGTCATAAAAGATCGGCTTTCAGTAATTTTATTTACATAGGACCAAAGTTCAAAAAGAAATAAACTTTCTATGAAAGCCAGCCTGGCAACAGAAATTCCCGCTAAACTTTTATTTGCCATTTCAATGCAGCCGTTCTTGTGTAATAATTGACACAAGCAAAACAAATTGTGAACGTTTTTTCTAATGAATACGCCCATAGATTTATCCACCGTTCATAATTCTTATTATTGTTATTATTATTATTATCGATTTTTGTGACGGGACTGGTTTTGGGCGTTCTTCCTGTTCGAAACGTCTAGTTTTGAGGCTTCTGCAATAGAAGCAATTCAATCGCAATATGTAGACATTTTGTTTCACCAGAAATACAAATTCTGTACTAATAAAAACAAGAAATAGTTGAATAGTTTCAAAATTTTGGTTGTTTGACGTGTAGATTTTTATTCTGATTATTATTATTACTATTGTTATTTTGGGAACAATGAGAAATAAGTATAATGATATGATAAGTATAGTGATATAAATTATAATGATATGATGAGTATAGTGAAATGAAAAGTATAATGGTATGATAAGTAAAGTGACAGGATAAGTATAATGATATGATAAGTTTAGTGATATGATGAGTATAATGATATGATAAGTATAATGATGTAATAGGTATAATGATACGATAAGTATAGTAGCATGATAAGTATAGTGACATGATAAGTATAGTGATTCGATAAATATAATGATATAATAAGCAAATCCCAGGTCGACCCAGCCTTGAGTGGGTACAGGGGCAATCCCGGGAAGTAAAGGCGGCCAGCATGATGCTGACCACAACTCCCATCTTGCACCGATTGGTCTATAATAATATAGGTCTAGCCCTATGTGCCCTATAGCCTAAAGGCGTGGAAAATGGTCCTTTACTTTTTCTAGTAATAAGAATAGTTATATGATAAGTATAATGATATGATAAATATAATGACATGATAAATATAGTGATATGATTGATTATAGTGATCTGATTAGTATAGAGATATGATAAGTATATTATCATGGTAAGTAAAATAAAACGATAAGTATAGTGATGTGATAAACATAATGATATGATAAGTATAGTGTATGATAAGTATAATGACTTGATAAGTATAGTGTATGATAAGAATAAGAATATGATAAGTATAGTGATATGATATGTAAAATGATTTGACAAGTATAGTATATGATAAGTATAGTGAATGATAGGCATAAGGATGTAATAAGTATTATGATATGATAAATATAATGGTATGATAAATAAAATGCTATGATAAGTATAGTGATATGATTGATTATAGTGATCTGATTAGTCTAGAGATATGATATGGTAAGTAAAATAAAACAATAAGTATAGTGATGTCAGAAACATAATGATATAATAAGTATAGTGTATGATAAGAATAATGAAATGATAAGTCTAGTGATATGATAAGTTAAATGATTTGATAAGTTTAGTGTATGATAAGTATAGTGTTTGATAAGTATAGTGATATAATAAATATAGTGATACGAAAAGAATACGGATATGATTAGTAAATTGATTATGATAAGTATATCTATATGATAATAATAGTGTTTTCTAAGTATAGAGATATGATAAGTATAATGATATGAAAATTACTGTGTGTGGTGAGTTTAGGGACATGATAAGTATAGTGATATGAAAAGAATATTGATATGATAATTTTAGGGATATGATAAGTATAGTGTATGATAAGTATAGTACATGATGAGTATAGAGCTATGGTAAGTATAATACAATATTATAATGATTTGATAAGCATAGTGATAAGATAAGCAAAGTGATATGATAAGTATAATGATATGATAAGTTTAATGGTATGATAAGTATAATGGTATGATAAGTATAGTGATATAGTAAAATAAAGGTCCTTTTTCCACGTTTTTTTTTAAATAGACCAATTGGCACTTGGTGGGTCATGCGATCTGCACACTGATATGATAAGTATAATGATATGATAAGTATAATAATATGATTTGTATCGTAATATGAAAAGTATAGTGATATGATAAGTATAGTGTATAAGTATAGAGATATGATAAGTGTAGTGATATGATAAATGTAATGGTTATGGCCGGGGATGAAGAGTCCTAGCCTTTCCGAAATAATTTGGGGTTCTGCCTGACGCCCCCCCCCCTCCCTTTTCCTAACGTATCAAATGTTATTTGTGGGTGAAGGTCTCTATGTGCTCGAGCTTCTAGGTTTGAATTATTTGCCCCTTTCATTTGTAGCGCTGTCTGTTGAACCCTATGGCCTTGATTCCACGATAGATACTGTAAATCTAGTGCTTTAATTTTTCCATGGTCGAATACCGTGTGATCAATCCGTTGATATCTCGCTCTACAAGCTATTCTCTGTAGCTATAATAAATCCATTCACTGGTAGTAAACTCCGACGAAAATCCTTGTTGTCCGACCATTTCTTGACTATGCCCGTGTTCCTGCGCGAACAAGTTTCACTAATGTGGCCTATTTGTGTGCAGACTGTTAGTTTACCTCACCTCAAGCAGATGCACTCAGACTTCGACGGAGGGGTGGATGCTATTTGCGCTGACCAGGCTGCTGGCAGGGAACGTGTTTTGGGATGATCAGAGACAGGCGTGGACGAGTCCGAAGAGTCCTCGAGCACCGTATACCGGCCTTGCATTCATGGAAGCCTCCTTGGATGGCGGGAAATGACCATGTTCTTACTCTGCATTTCCCTCTCTAACCACCCTCACAAGGTACTAGAGTACCGGTCTAAGCCACTAGTTTTGGTGCAATCACATTTTTTTTTTAAATCCAACATATTTGGCACAAAGAAACCAGACCACAGTTATAACTGATAATGCTCGCAGTAGGTTAAATGTGTTCGATTTTTAAAATTTTTTTTTCATAAGTGGATAGATGGATTGAGAGTTGTCACTCTTCATTTTACCCCCGGTCCAGTTTGGGACACAATTGTTATTTTAGTCTCACCCAGGCTGGACAGCAGGTTATTTCGTAACCGTCGTCGGGTGCCCTAACATAACCTTAGGGTTAAACCGGGTATCTGGGTCTTGTGTGCCTGGGAAATTCTCACCCATATGGTGGCGCTTGTTGTCACCGGCTGTTAATTGCTTGCTGTGCGGTCATGTGACCTCGAACGCCACTCACTTGAGGGTGACCATTTTGCATGTAGTTACGCTAGTTGGTGTTATAATGTATGTGAATTACGTCTATCACAATGAAACCGACCAGTACAATCTTTTTCTTAAATATTTTTTGTATTCTAGACACCTCGTTACGGTCCTATATGTTTGTAATTGTTTTTGTTTTTGTTATAAGACCTATGATTGGTTAATATAAATTTATGTAGCCTATGGTGTCATTTCAATGGTGTCAGATGAATTATGTCTATAATCCATAATTGTGGACTTCAAACTGTACGATAGACCTGGCTAATGAAGACACCTTTTGGGGGTGCCTAGTTGGTCGTATGTCTTGGTACAATTGTTTCAATAGCAAGGCGCATACGCTATTTAGAGGTGGCTGGTTCGATTCCCGGTACGATAAGTGTAGTTTTCATGTTGTTAAGTGTGTCGTTCTTTTTTTTTTGTACTTGTTTATATGAGGGTTGATCATTACATTGTCTGTTTGTTTATTATATATAATGTCTTATAATAGTAACATGTGTGGATCAGGTGATGAAGATGTCACTACACAAATGAGGCTACAAAACGGTACACTGCCACGTCAGGTTGAGTACGTATAGATCCCACTTTTATATTGCAACATTTTCAGATAGTGAAATCACATTGTTGTTCAAGTCACATTGATTTTGTCCTAACCGAGCATGTCTATCTCCAGGCTAGCCGTTGTGACCTCACTCCTGCAGTGTGTGATCCCATATGCAACGTACCAGAAGAAGATCCCCAACGGGGAAATTGTCCCGTCTCCGTGTGGGTCTGGACAACTGTGGCCTGGGGTGGGTCACTTCAAGGACGTGGGGTCAGGAGAGAGGAACCCGTTTGGTGCAGACTTTATAGCAACTGGCAAAGTAAGTACATTCAGTGTAGGAGTCGGTGACATTAGTTACAAGAGCCATTATTGAAATCTCGTTCCCACCTTCGCGTGACTGCGTTTGATTGGTTAAAAGAGGAGGTCTTCTTCTTCTTCTTCTTCACTTTCTTTTTTACCGCTGTGGGTGTTGAGGGAGATATAAGGTTCTGTTTCTAGCTCTTCTGGCCGCCTCGACCATAGGCACATCGTGCTGTTGTAGAGTTTCTCTGATGTTATCTGATGTTAAGAGGAGGTCACAAATGACAATGTGGATATGTAAGGCAAGGTTAAGCTTCCTATAAACAAACACATGAACAACAATAATAAGATTATGATTAGGAAGAAGGAGAAGAAGAAGAAGAAGAAGAAGAAGAAGAAGAAGAAGAAGAAGAAGAAGAAGAAGAAGAGGAAGAAGGAAGAAGAAGAAGAAGAAGAAGAAGAAGAAGAAGAAGAAGAAGAAGAAGAAGAAGAAGAAGAAGAAGAAGAAGAAGAAGAAGAAGAAGAAGAAGAAGAAGAAGAAGAAGAAGAAGAAGAAGAAGGGGGAGGAGGAGAAGGAGGAGGAAAAGGAGATTATCAAAATGAAGAACAAGAAGAATCGGAAGATATTTTTATGAAAGTCAGTCAAAATTGACTGGATCATTTAATGAGTGCATGACATTTTTCGTCGTCTGCGATTAGAGTGGCTGCTATAATTTCTCCTGCATTATTACATAATCTGGCCGCCGTGTCTGTGATGTTTCAGGTCTGGACAAAGGAACTCTGTCAGAAAGACTCTGACGGCGATGGACGAACCAACGGAGAAGAACTGGGTGACCCTGACTGTATCTGGACAGAAGGTGGCACACCCAAGACCAAGCAGGGACTGTCACACCCAGGTAGGATCATTCAAAGTTGTATGAAGAATTTGATAAAGTGCTATAGCTTTCGCGGAGCGAAAGTGCTTCGTGATGTCTGGATGCCGGGTGAGATTGCAGCTGCAGAAAATGTTATCTTTGCGTTAATTTCGACAGTCGTATTGATATTCGACGGTTCAGGCTCAGTGGGAAACTCATTCATTCATTCATTCAGTAGCATGTCCCTCGCGGAACCTCGCTGCCATAACAACCCTCCGGAAAACCTTCCTATCATGAGCAAGATGTCCTGCGTCTGATACACCCATCTGGAGATCATCTGCCACATCCTGCACCCATCTTCTCCTTGGCCTTCCTCTTCCTCTCTTCCCAGGCATATACCCCTCCATTATTGTTCTCTCTAGACCTCCATGACGTTTCAAGTGACCAAAATATTTCAATTTTCTTTGTTTTATTGTCTTTACTAGCCAACCCTCTTCAATATTCAGCTCTTGAAGTATGGATGCATTTGTTCTTTTCTTTACCCAAGATATTCTTAGAACCTGTCTGTAACATTTATATTCAAATGCATTTATGCGCTGTTCCGCTTGTTTAGTAAGTGTCCAGGTCTCACAGGCGTATGTTGCAATGGGAAAGATGCATGCTCTTAAAAATCTGACCTTTGTAATTCTATCTGTACAGTTCCATAATTTATTCAGTTGTTTTAGTCTTTGAAGAGCAATTGATAGTCGCCGTTTAATTTCTTTCATTGTGTCACCATTGTTGGTAACCAGTGACCCAAGATATTCGAAATTTTCCACCACTTCCAATCTTTCCTCATTAACATATATTTCCTTCTCCATGGCAGTTTTGTTTGTCAGTGGGAAACTGCTGAACGTAAAATTTGCCTAAAAAATCCACAACAGTAAACATAAAATGCTGCGATTGGTTCTGCGATGTCCTGTAAAGGATGCACAGCTTATTTTTTACTGCCTGCGACTAAAGATTTGGACTAAAATACATAGAGAAATAATGACTGCATGGCAGACAGGAAAAGTATAGTAAAATGTAACGGCCCCCTTTCTAAACCTTTAGGAGTATTGGGCATATAGGGCTAGACCTATATTTTTATAGACTAGTCGGTACATGGTAGATGATGTGGTCAGCATCACAAGGCGGTAAAGTATACACAAACTATATAAATTATGTACTTTATCGGTAGACAACAAATCAAACGGTTGTCCCAAGATTAGCAACAGACAGGACACCACAGAAGGCAATGTTGTGCAGATACAGCGTGCCAAGATTAGCAACAGACAGGACACCACAGAAGGCAATGTTGTACAGATACAGCGGTAACAGAGCCAGAGGTCGACCACGCAGAACGTGGAATGTGAAAATATCAGACACCAAAAAAAAGTACTACATACGAAGCGAATGGAAGGACTCGTTCCAGATATCTCTTCCTGCCTTGACGCTGCAAGGTATTCCAGGAGTAGAAAAAAAAAAAGATACAGCTATTTTGTTTCTTTTTTGTTGTTGACAACAATTAGCTGTTGCGATTTCCTACATATGTAGACCTGAAAAAATACGAGTCGTCAAGCTACTGGGTTGAGTGCATGGCGCGACACTGTGAGCTGTGGATTTAATTTGGATTGGTTTCTTTTTTCGACTGTATTTAACGTGGTTTGTCAGAAAACGGCAAGTTTCCAGAGAATTTGAGGTAACCTATGCGATCAATTGCGTGTGCATACTGTCCTTTTGTAACTAATGATTCAATCGACGATAAACATCATTTCCAGTGTCAGACCGTTTGTATTGTCACTTCTGACCGCTGCCCTATGTCTTTATAGCATATGCTTGTTTTTGGATTTGCTAGGACAGAAGTGTGTGTCATTTTGTTTTTAACAAGGGACAGTGATGAAAATTCTGTGTGCTTTTCTTTGGCATAGGAACGAGCAGCAATGGGTTGACCAGTTGGCTATGAACTTGGATCTTCGACAACCTGATTACACAGCCAGATAAGAAAACGGCCAAACGACAAGAAACCCCAACAAACATCAAGCGACAGAACACTAACAGCACAATTTAAAACCAGATGAGATTAGGACCAGAAACGTCACCACGAATATAGTGAAGAGAGCAATAATGTTTTCTGAACCCCAGATGAAAGTGGTCAACGTTAATTGATTGATTGATTCATACCTGATTACCTCAATGAGAATACATCAGCATAACTACTACAATCCAATCTCCCAGGGCATGAATCAAGAAAAATAGAACATACTCCCGGTGTGGGTGCGGGGACCCCATTGCGGGAAAAACTGGAATAGACCCACTACCTCCTCAGTAAGCTTGTCCTTAGAGTCGACTAATTAGAAGCGTCATTAGAGGTCGGAGTTTGGCTGCCGGACAGGCAAAGAACCATCAGTCTGCCTACAAATGAGTCAGATCTGTATAAGTCCAGAACAAGACGTACAAGCTAAACTTGCCGCTCTAGTTTACAGCCGGTGAACGCGAACAAGAAACAAGAAGAATACAAAATACTAGAATTAGAATAAAAGACGTAGAATATGTTTAAGCAATCACGATTTAGGACATCTGAAGCTAACACAGTTTTTTGTGTGTGTGTGGGCAACATCTTGAAGGTATCTGTGAGCCCATTACCAGTACGATGTGCCAGCAGAAGAAAGTCATCTGGGGACAGTACAAGACCCAGAATGAATGGCTGGCTCAGATATGCAAGACAGAAAGTTTCCAGTGTCCAGCCATGCAGGAGCCAGGTGAGTGGTGGTTGAGCTGTCCAGAAGCTAGCTTTATTTGTCATCTATTTGTGAGATGCAAGGTCATCAACATCACGTGACCTGCCGAGTGGAGTAGGCGTTCATGTATCTCCACAGGTTTCTGTCCCTCGTCCTCTGAATCAGTGTTACCGATGATATGTTTCCATGCCTCCGTCGCAGTCCAGCAGTCATCATCTTTCTCGGTCTACCTCTCCCTCTTTTACCGTTGATCTTCTCAGTCGTCACAATAGTCTCCAAAGCCTCCCCCCTCATCTCATGACCAAAAAACAATGCTTGTCTTCTCCTTATATCTATTTGTAATGATCTTTTCTCATTAGCTTTCTTCAAGTAATACTCGTTATTATTCTGGCAGTCCTAGGGATTTTCAACATACGTCTGAAACACCACATCTCAGTCGCCTACAAGTTCTTTCTAATTTGATAAATCCTAATCCACGATTCACTACCATACATCAGTATGAGTTCTACATAACATCTCTTTCGGACATCTACAGAGAGATACTTGTTGCACAAGACATTCTTCATTCTGTAAAATGCAACCTTAGCCTAGCCTATTCCTCTCATAATTTCTGACACAAATCTTCCGCCTGATGTTTTTTTTTTTTTTTGTACTTAGAATAGCAGGGTGATCACTGTTTAGTGATTAATAATTAACTACTGATTTATTATTTTATTAGTTTAGAATTAGTAAAACATTATTTGGAAGCAGCGCAGATGTTGTTTCGTGCCAAGATACTGAGAATGCTCTGTATAGATAAACAAAACGAACAATGATGTCTTGAAAGAGGCTGAGTTACGAAGAGAACTGATTGCCCAAATCAGAAAGAAACAATCTACATTTTTCGTTCATATCATGGGGAGACAAATATTGGAGTACATCGTGACGGTGGGAAAGCTAGAGCGGGAAAGAGATGGAGGGAGACCAATAGACAAGAGGCTAGACATTTTAGCAGAATGGCTTAAACTATCAGTGTTGTCAGAACTGACTGAAAGTACATGAGACAGAAGGTTATGACAGGAATTGACTACCAAAGCAACACGTCATGTGCACGAGTTATAAACTGTGGTGTAGTTTATATGACAAATTGTCATGACATCACATCACTAGGAGAACGTTTAGTTAACTACTGAGTTCTTATCATTGTTTGGCCAACACTATGCCATCAGTGCCAAACGTGGACACTTACATCCTCCAATGAACGTAAAATTGTGACAACATAGATGGAATGCCTTAGAAAAGCTGCAGGAGTTTCAAGGAAAGACAGAATACGAAATCACGAAATCAGACTAATGCTAGGAATAAATACAGGTCATCAAAGAACAACAAATGGAGTGGTTTGGACACCAAACAAAAATGCACTGGTACTATCTGCCACAGCGAGCCACACTAAATCGTTACAACGGGTTTAGAGCGAGTGGAAGACCTCAGAAAATATGGAGTGATAGCATTAAAAACAGCCTCACAGAAATGAAAATCAGTCTCAATAGTGCTTTTGACAGAGCTCATCAACGAATGTTACATCTCCGCCCGACACTTTGATGAGGTACAAGGTGGAAGAGAAGAAGAAGAAGAAGTACTGAAGGTGGGTACAACCATGGTAAACTAAAGTTACTATTTCGAAAATATAACTAGAAATCCTTGTAACTAAACACGCAAAAAAAAAATCGCAGTTCAACTTAACACTTTCAACCGTATCCAGTACCCAGAAACCATGAGTTGTTAACCCTTTGGCTCGGTACTATGGATATCACAACCCTTCGGCCTTGATTCCGTGATAGATACTGTCAATCTGAGAGGAATGAATCTTTTCTGTCTACCACAGGGTGCGAACCCGGACCACAAGGAGTTCGTCACCAGGTCGCCGGGCAGTCTGGTTTAGCCAACTGCGCTAGGGACTACGGACGCAAGTTGACTGGATCTGCCACCAGGCCTTAACTTAAACTGACCATGTTACAGTAAACGTGTGGGAATGCCCAAAGTGCAGTGATATCAATTCATTCAATCATTCATTCGTTTTAAATGACATGGCCGTATCCACTGTACTGACGAGCGTCTCATATTCCCACCAGGTGTAGCGAACGTGACTGTGAGACTCCCGATAGGAACCCAAATCCCGGCCCAGGACACAACTTACGAGTGTCAGATCTTTGACCTAACCGCTCTTGGTGTCCCTGCGGGCAAAACCTTCCACATGGTTGCAGTAACACCTATCATAGACAACAGTAAAGTGCTTCACCATATGGTCCTCTCTGGCTGCAAAGGTAAGTAGTGCAATGGTTTTGTCACTTGTTGTATGAAGGAGATTTCGACGATGGTTAAATGTTAAAGGTTATAGGTGGGAGCCTCGACTACGTTGCATTTTGATTTATTCCACATGACTCATGATCGCTAGGTTGATTTTTTGATTTATAGCGAAAGCGTAGAACAAAGCACGAACACCGGTGACGATCTCTCTTATAAACTGTGAAACGAACCCACGACCTTCATAGCGCAAGACTAACGGCCTTACCAATAGCCACGGAGGACACCCACACCCCCCCCACCTAGCATCTTTTCATTGTTTATTGTGCTGGGATCTCCGGTAGCTTGCTAGCCTTTAAGGGTCCACCACTTCTTATCCCAGTGTCAGAAAATATTGTGTAAATAGGCATCAGAGACAGGGTGATCTTTTGGTTGGTAAATGGGCGACGTCGTCGGTGGCCTGGAAACTGAGAGAGAGAGAGATCCCATCAACAACGCAAAGGTCTTTTTCATGATACTTGTAAGCTAGCAGTTTTGAGCCATGAATATGGAGCCAGTAATCCAGACCACAAGAGAGATAAGATGCTGGGCAGTTTGACATCCTGGCATGAAGGATGATCTATCTCAGAGTTGATTGAAAGTACGCGAGCCAGAAGGTTGTGGATAGCATGACTACTAACGCCACACGGCATGGACGTCAAGAAGAAGAAGCAAGACCACACTATAGACTAAAGCTCCCGCTTGGGGGAAGCTGGTTCAGTGTTTTTTATTTAAATTACCAAGATACTTACTGCTATATAAAATCCATTCTATTGCCACTTGACGACTGTTGCCATCTGTAACCAGATAATGTGAAGGCCACAGCAGAATCATACAGCTGTGGGATGTTGGCCTCAGACGACTGCATGCAGTTTCTCCACGTCTGGACCCTAGGACTGGACGGCGAGTGCTACCACCCGGACAGCGGGGTTAAGATTGGTCTTGGAGGGTACAAGTTTGTCGCTATACAGGTAATGTGCTTTTGGAAAGTGGCCTGCTTAGGTTATTGCAGGTAGGCATATGTCCTAGGCGCAACTTGAAAGGGTTGGGGGGGGGGGGGGGGGGGCCAAAAAACTGGCGCTTACCCCCAAACCTGCCCCCGCTCCCCTCCACTTTAACAGTTTGAACACACAATAGTTGTCTGTCCTTTAAATATTACTTGGAGTATGAATTAAACAATTTTTAGCGCCGTTAGGCTACTCTTTTCGATGGCCAACTGCCAAGGGAGCAACAATGCACACGGACGTCCGATCTCACTACCCAGAGACCAGGGGGAATAACTAGAAGTCCAATTTTAAAAAAATCCCAGCATTGACTGAACCCGGAACCTCTAGCACTCGAGGTGGACACTATGCCTCGAGTCCACGCAGCCCCCTATCTATAAGCTTATGAGATTAGCTGTTGTAATTGTTAGAGTTTCAGGGCTTTATATAGCCGAGGGCCTCATCAAGTCAAACTTCGACCCTGACTACATGATAGTAGAAAAAGAAAAAGAGTTTGTCCCTAAGTTTATTATGGCACGTCTGTAATGTTTCAAGCTCAAACAAACAGCCCTTTAACAGTTGAAAACTGTGACAGTAATATGAATTTTAAAATTCTTTATTTCATATTTAGCGGCGTCCGTGGCTAAGGCGTTGCGAGTTTAACTCGTAATCCAACGTACCGCGATCGAAACCAACTGCTGGGCTGCGTGGATTTTTATCGTGGTATGGGACGTCGCAGGTCGACCCAGCCACAAATGGGTACCAGGATGGGCTGTCCTGGGAAAGTAAAGACGGCCGGCGTCATGCTGACCACATTACCCACCGAGTGCCGATTTGTCTGTAAAAATATGGGTGCTCTTCCCATATGCCCGATGTGCCTAGGGCGTGTATAGGGGTCTTATTTCATATTTGTCAACGAAATTGAAAATGTCACAAACTTTGAATAACTAGGCTCCATACTAAACAGCAATAGAGACTGTTTGACATAAATCATAAGGGTGATTCCCCGTGTGGGTTCCCGGGTCCGATTATGAGAAAAACAAAAATTGATTCACTGCCTCCCCAACAAGCATGTCGTAAGAGTCGACTAATTAGGGGCTTTCTTCAAAGTCAGAGTGTATCTGCCTGAGAGGGATAGAACCAACAGTCTCCACACATATAAGCAGGATCTGTCAATTGGATACACACGCAAAACTCAGGTCAACAAAGCCAAAGTCCAGAAATGGATGAACAACCTGCTCTTACCACCTGGGTTTACAGCCGGTGAATGCAAACAAACAAAAAGAGGATGGCCATAGCAATGCAAAGATTATAAACAGCATTGAAATTCTGCGGTTAAGCATCAGCTACAATTGTGAGGGTATGCATCTTCGCTGTAGCAACATAAGAATGTGAGTCGTGGACTATGAGTCGTGGACTATGAGTCGTGGACTATGAGACGTGGATTATGAGTCGTGGACTATGAGTCGTGGACTATGAGTCGTGGACTATGAGTCGTGGACTATGAGTCGTGGACTATGAGTCGTGGACTATGAGTCGTGGACTATGAGTCGTGGACTATGAGTCGTGGACTGTCTCCCAGTTCTTAAGGGGGAAAAAAGTGCTTTTGGGCTGAAATGCAAAAGAAAGATGCTCCGAATACCACGAACAAAAAAGAGTCAAAATATTGACATACTAACAGATGTGAACATTAAGGAATATCGGTTAAATAAACAGCATTTTGTCTCGCAAGCTGAAATATTTTGGCCGCATCAGGCGTCATGACCGAATGAAAAACAAAAATAACAGCTCAAGGCATGGTAACATGAAGAAGGGGCAGGGGCTGAACAACACTTAGATAGGCACTGGTTAAAAGTGAATCCTGTGGTATGAAACCGCAGGAGGCGGGAGAGATGGTGAAAAACTGAGTTTCTGTCAGACAGGCTGTGATGAGAGCGACGTTTTGCAAAGGACCTGCTCCATGATGATGAATATTTGCATATGTTTAATGTTGTTGGCCTTTGCTTCGTTATTACAGCTACACTGGAATAATCCAGATGCCGCATCAGGGCTTACCGACGCTTCTGGGATGGTTCTTCACTATACGCCAAATCTGTGAGTATATCATCATCATCATCATCCTCATCATTATCATCATTATCTTCATCATTCGTTGTCATTGTCTATATCATCATAATATAAACATCATCTAAATTATCATCCTTATCTTAATCCTTATCATCGGCAGCATTGTCATCATATTAATTGTTATCATTGTCAGTATTATCATTATTATCAATATCTTTAACATCCTCCTCGCAGTACCTACCACCTATTTGACGTAGATCGTAGATACGTAGTCCCTAACGCATGTATCAGTAGCCCCCCCCCCCCTAACCCCACCCCCACCACTAAAAAATGTAATAAGGTACAGAAAGAGTAGCTTTTCCTCACTTAGTTGAGGGCATAGGCCAAATAATGAATAAAGGAAAAACGAAGAAGGCAGAGGGGAAGGAAAACGAGGACCATGACGACGAGAAGGAAGAGGAGGACGAGGGGGAGGAGGAGAAGAAGAAGGAGGAGGAGAAGAAAAAGAAGAAGAAAAAGAAGAAGACGAAGAAGAAGACGAAGAAGAAGAAGAAGAAGAAGAAGAAGAAGAAGAAGAAGAAGAAGAAGAAGAAGAAGAAGAAGAAGAAGAAGAAGAAGAAGAAGAAGGAGAAGAAGAAGAAGAAAAAAGAAGAATAACAACAACAACAAATTGCCATAATACCTGTTCCAGTGATATGGTTCACCTGTTTTAGAAACAGTACCAGTGATACACTTCTTTAACTATATCTATTTTACAACAATTTTATGTCGCTCTGACATTCTAAGATCTGTTTTTGTATGTGTCTGTGTGTGTGTGTGTGTGCAGGAGACCTCATGATGCCGGAGTCCTTATGATCGGGTCCAATTTTTTTCACCTGCCGCCACAACAGGAAGCTGTCACAATCCACAGCACATGCGCAAGCGGATGTACACAAAGGGACATGGTGGGTCCTATCCACGTGACCTTTGCTTGGAACCACATGCACTACGCAG